TTTTTGTCTCCTGAATAATTATGTCATAATTGGAATATTAATCCGTGTCTTGTTTGTTAGTTTGTCTTTCTCTGGAGATCTCCAGAGTCCTCATGCCTTCCTTAAGATGCTCAGAGCAGAGCTGACCTCCATTCCTGGGAGGCACCTACCAGGTGGGCCTTGGGCCTTGAGCTCACCAGCCCAGTGGAATGCTGAGGCAGAAGGGAAGTCCTACAACCTGCCAGGTTAAAGCCCAGGAAATACATGCACTTAGAGGAAATACAGTTCAACTTTTATACTCAGGCATCTGTCATGGTTCCGTGAGATTATTTTAACTCCTTTTTCAATTTTTAATTCAGATGCCTACTTCCTACTTTTTTTTATTACTTCCTTTGGAAATCTTCCTACAATTTATTTCAGGGCCAGGCACACTACCTTACTCAGTCTGAGGATTCAGGAGAAAGGGGAGTCAGCTCTGGGCACCTCCACTGATACAACAAATCTATGGATTGCCTCCTACGTGCTAGCTCTTTTGTTAGGCACTGGGGTGCAGCCTCGTATCAGATACTGTCCTTTCCTTGTGGTTTTGTGCTCCAACATGTAGAGAAAAAAAGTCATGTTAACAATAAAGCAATGCAAAGTTAGCAACTCACATATGTGAAGTTTCTGGACAGTTTTATTACCATCCTTGGGTTGTGTGTGTGTTTCTAAAGGATGATCTACAAAGGAAGGAACTCATTCAACTATACCTGTTATTTCTTGCCTTTTTTTTAAGTTCTCTTATCCATGGTAAGTTTTATTCCCTATTTTTGTGGTAATTAAATTTGAAAAATGGGTCTTTGTGTGCAAACCTTTCAAAGACATGTTCTACTTCTTTATAAAATAATGAGACTGGATTTGATGATGAATACAAACCTTCATTTCTAAAACCTGAATCACTGGGTCAAGATGAAGGTGTGCCTCCTCATACAACCACATAAAAATTACAACTAAACTGCAGAACAACCATTACTCAGAACCATCAGAAATGGAGTTCAATGGAAGTCCAAAAACTATAGACTAAAAAGTGCATTCATCCAGACTGGTAAGAGATATGAAGATGTGGAGATATGGAGACATGGAATGGGCTGGCCTAACACCCACATGTGGTGGATAAAAATTCAGGAGGGATATCTCAGAAGTGAGGGGTCCCAGCCCTACACCAGGCACTCTAGCCCAGGGAGCAAGTGCCAGAATGATAAGCCCTATAACTTCTGGCTTTAACAGCCAGAAGTGTTTGAGTTGGTGAAAGGAACTTCTGGAGTACCAAGCAGTGTCTCTTAAAGGGCCCACACACACACTTCCTCAGACTCACTCACTCTGAGCTCCAGCACTGGGACAGCAGTTTGAAAGGTACCAGTGGCATAAAGGGAGGAACCGAAGTGTCTGACATCACAGCGAAAGCTGGGGGGACAGATTTGCCCCATGGCACACCCAAGCTGTTAATAGTGGCTTTTCCATATGAATGGCTGGTATCATCTCAGGCTTTACAACTTCCTAAATCCTTTCAAACAAGCAACAATCAGCCTCAGTGAGCCCCTAGTCCCCAAATCTTTTTCTAAGTGGCCCCAGGCCTGGAACCAGCAACAGCTAGCTTTGGATCACAGTCTGGGTTTGCCTGGGAATCTCCAAGCCTAGTACAAGTAGCAGCCATCTGCAGATTGCTTCGTAGTAGGTGAGCCTGTGCAAAACACAGATGGGGGCTGAATTTGGCCTGCCCCACCTGGGAAACCCAGAGCCTGTGCACCCAGTGGTCAGCTACAGGCCATGTTGGAGCACCACCACCCTGCCTCTGCACAGCCGATTTTCCACAGAGAGCAGAGGTTAGTAGTCAGTGGTTAGAGCCAGTCCATGCAGCTGACTGTCCTGGGTAGATCCTTCCCATTGGTCTGCCAATGGCAATCAAGTCTGAACTAGAAGAGGAAGGTTTACTCATCCCACATGGAGGGCACACCTTGAGTACCCAGATTGGTTTATAAGGAAGGCTGTGCCACTGGACCCTACTGAACACCTGCTATATTAGACCACATAACCTCGCCAGGGAGTCATAGAAGCTCTACTTAATACACAGAAGCAACACGGGAGGCTGCCAAAATGAACAGACAAAGAAACATGGCCCAAATGGAAGAAAGATCAAAACTCTAGAAAAAGAACTAAACAAAATGGAGATAAGTAATTTATCAAATGCACAATTCAAAACACTGGTTACAAGGATTCTCAAGGAAATCAGTGAGTACCTCAACAACATAAAAAAGATCCAGGCAGAAATGAAGGATATACTAATGGAAATAAAGAACAATTCATAGGGAATCAACAATAAAATGGGTGAAGCTGAGAATCAAATCAGTGATACGGAACACAAGGAAGCTGAAACAACCAAACAGAACAAGAAAAAAAAAGAATCCAGAAAAACCCAAGGAGCCTCTGGAACAACTTCAAACATTCCAAAATTCACATCATAAGGGTTCCAGAAAAGAAAGAACAAGAAATTGGAAATCTAACTAAAAAAAATAATGAAAGAAACTTTGCCTAATTTGATGAAGAAAGTAGGGGTGCAAGTCCAGGAAGCACAGAGAGTCCCAGATGAGATGGATGCAAAGAGGCCCATCCAAGACATGTCGTCATTAAAATGTCAAAGGTTAAAGATAAAAAGAGAATCCTAAAAACAGCAAAATAAATGCAGTTAGTTACAGGGCAGTTCCCATAAGACTGTCAGCTAATTTCTCTAAAGAAACTTTGCTAAGTAGAAGGAATTGGCAAGAAATAGTTCAAGTCATGAAAAGCAGGGACCTACAGCCAAGATTGCTCTACCCAGCAAAGCTATCTCTTAGAATTGAAGGGCTGATAAAGAGCTACCCAGACAAAAACAAAACAAAACTAAAGAAGTTTATCATCCCAAACCATTATGATATAAAATACTAAGGGGACTTATTTAAGAAAAAGAAGATCAAAACTATGAGCAACAAAACAATAAATGCGTAGCTGTCAACAATTAAATCTAAAAAATAAACTAGGAAATCAAGCAGAGACAGAACCATTGAGGAGCATTTTGATGGTTGCCAGATGGGATGGGATTTTGAGGAAGTAGGCGAAGAGGTGAAAGGATTAAGAAGTACCAGTAAGTAGTCACAAAATAGCCATGGGATGTACAGTACAGCATAGGAAATGGAGTAGCCAAAGAACTTATATGAATGACCCATGGACATGAACAATGTGTGGGGATTTCCTGAGGGAGTAGAGATTGCTCATTGGGGGGAGGTAATGGGAGAAGAATTGGGACAGCTATAACAGCCTAATCAATAAAATATCATTTAAAAGGGAAAAATAATATCTAAATCAATGAAAATTCCTAAATAAGGAATTGATGCCTCTTACCCACATTCTTATTTATTCATCCAAGAACTTAGGTCGGTGAATCAGTCTTAATGGTCTGATGTCTCTGAACCTCTGGCACATAATCACCTGTGCTATCCTTTAGGATTTGGCACGAACTACATTGTGTTAATGTTTTTAAATTTACTTTTATTTTTATTGTTGTTCAAGTACAGTTTTCTGCCTTTTACTCCCGTTCCAGCCTACTCCCCCAGCCCTCCCCACCTTCCTCCCATTTCCACGCCCCCTGTTTTTGTCCATGTGTCCTTTATACTTGTTCCTGCAAACCCTTCCCCTTTTCCCCTGAAATTCCCTCCCCTCTCCTCTGTGGTCACTGTCAGCCTGTTCTCTATTAATCATTAGAGCGTGAGTTCCCAATGGGCTCTGACTCCTCATTCTTGGTGCCTGCCAGTCTGTGGTCTATCAATGATTGCTCAAAGTGGCTGGTTTTAGCATTCCATGGTAAGCTTTAAAAATTAAGTAACAGACAAAAGATAGACTTCCGTGCTTCATGCCTCCATTTTCAGATGCATTAGGTCTATGCTGGGGCTCAGGAATTGTAGTTTTAGAACATTTCCTGGGCGATTCTGATGATCAGCTGTGTTTGAGAACCAGTGATCTTAATGCATACATGGCTGCTTTTCTTCCTTCTTCCTGTTAAGTGTCAGATTTGATCTGTGATCTCAGAGTTCTCATGGAAGTGAGGGCAAAATCAAAAGACATGTAACTCCTCCTGTCTTCAGTGGCTGTCCCCCAGGGGCCAGCACTGGGTGAAGATTGGGAATTGCCGTATTAATAACTATTAGGAACCTAGCTGTCAGTGTGTCTAACTCACATGGTGTGGCCCATCGGCTCGGCAGGCACGGAGGTGAGACTTGCTGGCTTGGAACTCCCTCTGGGGTTCTCCTGAGTTGTGTGGCCAATCCCACAGGCCTCTTTGTTTCACCCTTGGGGGATGCCAACATTTCCTGGAAGGCTGAGTGCCTAGTAATATGCCTTTCACAGATGGGGAAACAGAGACTGAGAAAGTAACTTCCCAGGGTCCCTCGCTGGTACACAGTGCAGTTGGGGTTTGAACTTAAACACAATGGATTTAACTCCCTATTAGTGCCCGACTCTTAAAACCAAAGTTAATGTCATAATATAGCACGTAGAATTATACCTATTACCTTAATCCAGGACCATAGGCTGACAAGTTATTACTAAAATCAACCATAAGAACATTGTTTCGTGTTTGATGAAAGGCAGCATTTGTAGAGAAGTTAAAAAGGAGGTTTTATTCATTCCTTTTGCCCCTCTTTCACAAAACGCACACCACCTTTATTATATTACCACTGAATCATGATTTTAATTTAATATACATAAAAAATCCTTACTCAAAAGAGTAGTCATATCAATTCAAACATGTGAGCCAAAATTTAAAAAATTATTTATGACACACCAGTCATTCTTTTTTCCCATAAATCTTGACAACAAAAATTGGTCTCAGTTTCTGATTTTTCATATGCTTCCTTCCTCTGAATTATAGAAAACTTCCAGGGAAATAAAAACCTGTTTATACAAAGAGGCGGTGTGGCAATACATGTGACGCCCATTTCTCATTCTTAAAAAAAATTGTGAAAAACAAGCTTTTTTCTTGCTCTTCAATTCTAAAAGGAAGCTAATTTGAAAGACTTATAAATCTAACTGAAGTGGACAACCTGTTTTTGTTTGCAACTAACATCAAACTTCAAGTGGAGCTAAGCTGGTTGGAAGGGAGAAGGAATATGTGCGCCCCTCCCTGAGCTTTGACAGTTCGGACACAGACAGAAACTGACAACCCCAAGGAGAGAAGGTTAAGTTCAGTGTATCCTTCCATGTGCCATCGAGTTAGAGAAGGTCATTGGAGTGGTTTAAACTGGTGCATCTCCCTAGAAGGTAGAAAAAAATTAATTAATTATGACATTTTTTTTTTTACTTCTTCCTTCCCTCTTCCCTTCCCTTATTGGTCACTTCTGGAATGTTTTCTATACTATTCTGACTTTTTCCCCAGAGCTTTAATCTGTATCTTAACTGCATTTTGGTTATAGGAATTTAAACTTCAATTCATTTTGCATCATTTATTATTAAATATAATTTCTGTAAGAGGCACAGAGAATTCAAGTGGTGTCTCCAAAGCCTCAGCTAAGCAGAGGAGCCAGGATTTGAACCCAGGGAGGTTTAACCCAGAGACTGTGTTCTTTTCTGGAAGTTATGCTGCCTCACTGTTTTTCATGCTCTTAGTAAACAGCAATCAGTACAAAGTACTGAGCCTCCTAACTGTTCAGATGAATGTATGTTAATCACCCCATGTTAGACACTCAGTCGGCAACCCTTAGGAAGCTGGTTTAACAATAACATTTTACAAAGAAACAGGTGAGGGCAACTGACTTGGCCAAGGCCGCACAGCTGACGTTCATCCCAGGTCACAGTTTGAATTTAAAGCATGTTTTTGTCTATTACCTCCTTCAAGGATTGTGCCACGCTCAGGTACTTCTCCATAAATATTTTTCTGTCTGAACAAATGAATGCTGACCTGTTCACTCTGTACAGAAGTTCAGCAAAGCTGGTTGGGGTGACCTTGACTCTGAGAAGTTAGGCAGCTTGCCAGGGTAACTCAGCTAATAAAAAACTGCCAAGAGCCCACACCTCTGGACAGTGTCCTCCTGGGAGAGGAATGCTGACCCGCTTTATAACAGGCAAGCTGGCAACAAATCCTCACCACACCAAGTTTTTAAAAATGCAGCTCTAATGTGCACCGAAATATGTAGTACTGAAGTTTCAGAATATTTGCAAATTATTTTCCAATGGTTAAAAAAGAGAAGGTGAGCAAATATGAACAATTTGTATATTTAGGTGAAAACTTACAGGTGTTCATTGTGCTGTTCTTTTAAATTTTACCCAGATTTGACGTTTTCCAAATAAAAAGTTGAGGAAGGGAGGAAAGAAGGAAGGAAATTCCAGCAGGGTTCATTCACCGTTCACCGTAACATAGTCTTTTGACTATGATGTGATTTGTTCATAAAAATTGTTCAAATATGGTATCTGAACATATGACACTCACTGAAAAAAATCAGTGTACTAACATTTACAGGTATGTTTTTAAATTTATAGATAATACTCAGATTTAGTAAACTACTGTTTTATATTCAAAGAGCAGTTTTATATCCAATAAACCTTGCAATGAAAATTTGCTACCTAACTATAAAGTGTAACTGTCTTCTGTGAAAGCAAAACAAATAAATAACATCAGTGTTTGAAATGGTTCGGCTGATTTAGAAAGCAAGAATTCATTTAGGAGGAACCGCAAGCTTCAAATGCTCGGTATTCTTATTGCATCCTAAAAATAATTTTCATGAATAATTCATAGTTTTCTTTTCTCTCCAATTGTGTTTATTGACCAAAAAATTTAAATACAATGCAATAGAATTGAAAATGTATAGTAATAAAGCCAATACTCAGTAAAATTTATTTTTAAGACATGCCTTTTATGGTGGATTTTTGAACTTTTTGTTTACATTTTTTATATTTTACTTTATTTTTATTTACTTTTTTAAGAAATAGAGAGAAAAAGAAGAAGAAGAGAGAGAAATACTGATTCGTTGTTCTACTTACTTTAGCATTCATTGGTTGGTTCGTGTATGTGCCCTGAGTGGAGATCAAAACTGCAACCTTGACATATCAGGGTGATGCTTTAACCAACTGAGCTACCTGGCCAGGGCTACTCTTTTATATTTTAAAATATGTAATTGTTAAGCCTTATTTGAATAATATAAAGTGGAAAGAAAGAAAAAAATGAAAGTCTTCTTATCCACGAACAACTATCATTTAATACTTTGGTTGGAGGAAAAAGTACCCTGAAATGTGTTTTATATATCACTTGATAACTTTAGCCCACTGTGTAGCTTTAGTCAGGAAATGGTGAGAACATTTCCGGCCAGACAATGAATGATGTGTTACTGTTGACAATATGTGCATATGACAAATGCTCACTCCTTGGGGATTTTCATGTAACATTTTGTAAATTTCCATATGTGTATGCAGTCCTTTGCCTCCAGGACTAGGGTCAACTGGGTGAAAGACTAAAAATTTTGCTCAGCTTCAGCCTGAATTTGCTAAGTGCACAGAGAGAATTTCTGGGTTCCAGGAATACCATGTCACTGTTTCCCTGGGTTGACGGAGGGGGCTGCCTGGACTCTTGAGCCTGGCTCTGGTTTTCTGTAGCTGCCACCGCTGCACCATGTCAATCCACTAGCACTGCAGGCCAGCCTTGGCTCACCCATCCTGAGAAGTAAGGACCAAGACCTCAGCTTACCCCACAGCAGCCACAACACTGGCAGTCTCCACACAGAGTCCCCAGGAGGCCGTTGACCACCTGGATGACGCAGAGAACCATCTGGATCATTGCTATGACCATCAGGATGGAGAAGAGGGTCAAATTCCAGGGAATCACATTCTCCGGCTTCTGGCACTTGTTCCATAAGGATTTGTCATTGAGGTAATCCCTGTCGGGAGCATGGGGACGAAAGGAGACGTCTATAAAATGTAGGCAATACCCTAGACTATGAAGTCACCATAATGATTTTTTTTTTTTGGTAATACTTTCCATCCAAAAACATAAGCTCAGTAAGAAAAAAATCCCATAACAACACTTTTTAAAGACAATATCTAACATTTTTATAGACTATAGACTATGTGTTAGACCCATTCCAAACATTTTACACATATTCACTATTTTATGTCTTATAGAAACCTTATGGCTCTTGGCCCTGACTGGGTAGCTCAGTTGATTACAGAATTGTCCTGATATGCCAATGTTGTGTGTTTGATCCCCAGTCATGGCACTAGAAGAATCACCCAATGAATACATAAATAAGTGGAGCAACACATCTCTCTCTCTCTCCAATAAAAAGAAGAAAGAAAGAAACCTTATGGGTCTCTTCTTTTACTTCACAAATAAAGGCACAGAGGCACAGAGAGGTTGAGTGTCTTGACCTAGGTCTCATAGCTACATGCTACAGAGTGATTCTTGCAAGCTGACCAAGAGAATGGGTAAATTCAATACCTAGTAGGGAGCTGGGAAAATGAAAACACAAATGTTACTGGGTTTTACCTCACCTACTGTCACTCAGGACCTCTTGGCTTTTTGACAAAATTCTGTCACATCTACTGGTCATCTGAAGCCATGTAAAGTGCAATCATGTCATACAGTTAAGAGGAAGAGCTTAATTTTTTAAAAGACCTAATTCTAGCTAAATTTTTAATTTTACTCAACTATATTTTGTTTATATGTGGGAATTCCACATGCAAAAATATTTAATTAATAAATAGCACTAAACGATCTGCTGCCTTAACATGTATTTTACAAAAACTTTGAAATAGGAACACTGCGATATATTCATGAATTCCGTGTGTTAGGAGTCCACTGCATATATGAAGGAGAAATGTGCACTATGCTGTCTTCACCAAAAAGCACAGGAAAGTGCGCCAGTCTTTGGGGTTATTATTATTGCTTCTCACATTCTTAGAGCCACAAATTGGTCACACCTGTTGCCTTATTCCCCTCTATCCTCTCGAGGCCTCAGTGGGAACATCTGTCTGCATGTGGCTACTACATCAATACCCACCTATTGTTTTGGGGTCTTTCTCATGGCTCGTGTTTCTGATAAATTCTTTAGTAACTAGTACACACTTATTTAAATATGTTCTGTGTTCAAATTTGAAAAATCTTTGCAATGATGGAAGATGCCCTGGCATTTCATGAAGTCAAAGGAAGAAGGGAACAATCATTTGCACTTGATTTAAAAATAAAAGACTGTTTGTAGCATTGATTCACCTTTCCACAAGAGCACAGGTTCTAGCTGCTAGCTGTGCATCTTACCTGTAAAATGGGAATGAAATCCTCTATGAAATCAGAGAGTTACTGTGAGGATTCACACTAGCACAGTGCTTAGGACAGTGCCTAGCATACAGTAAGTGCTCGGTAAATGCAAGTATTGTTATAATGCCACTTCATCTAAGCTGTCTGGTCTAAAGGACAGAACCTGGTACTTTGGATTCTGATGGATGTGAGTTTGAGTGCAAGCAGTCCTCTTATAGCTGCAAATTACTCATGCAAGTTACTTACACTCCCCACCCCTTTCCCCAGGCGGTATTAGTTTCTTCATCTATGGAGTAGGTTGAGAAGAACCTCTCAATTGTGAGAATTCACTGAGACGATGCTCCTGCTCCGTATGAATTGCTATGCAAGACCTCTTTTACGTAGTGTTTTTTAAACACTTGTCTTTCTGTTCTGCAATTTTTCTTACAATTTTAAATTTGTAAAACTGTACACGTTTTTGCAATACTTTCTTGTACAGTTTTTAAACTTGATGACAATAAGGAGTTATATAGAGAGACAATATTTTCCAGACACATTTGGTAAAGAAACGACCCTGAGATGAAGTGATTGGCAGTGCTGAGTTCTCTCCCTCTTCTGAAGAGCGTGCAGTGCTGGGATGACAGCACCTCCTGGTGGAGAGCTTAGTAAAACGCTCGGGGGTGGGGGCTGGAATTTGGAAGCTTGGATTGAGTTCAGTCCCAGCCCTGCTGCTGCCTCAGCCCTCACAAGCCAGCACAGAGGGCCATTCCAGGCCCTTCTCTCCCCTGACTCTCAGGTGCTGAGCCTGGCTGAGATCCCGGCAACGACTGCTGTGCCCAACCTCCAAGCCCAGGTGAGAGCAGATCTCATATTTCAGGGACCTGGGGACTCATCCTGTTTCCACATTCTGTGAAGCAAGGGCAGCTGGGGCGGTTTACACCCAGTTGACTGAGCCAGAGGTTTAAAGCATCCCGTTCTTGTGCAGGGCATTTCCACCCGAGCTGCAGTGATCCCGTCCACGTCGGGAGAGAGTGCCGTGCATTTCACGCACCTCACTTCCTGCAGCTGAAGGAAGGAGCAGGGGAGCCTGACCGCTCAGCCCGGCCCCTCTGCCCTGCTGCTCCAGGTGCCCCCCTGCTGCTCCAGGACAGGCCCCTGATGCTCCTGCCCTCAGCTGCCCGTGGTGCCCCTTCAGTGCTTCCCAGCACTCTGTGTACCATCTGGCCGTGTGGGCAGGACCATGTCCCCTGTCTCTGTCCCCAGTTCCAGCACAGGCAGTTTCAGTGAGTACCAGCCGTTTTCAGGGACCGCGACCTGCCCCTGTTCCAGGCTCTGGGGCAGCTGCTTTACATCACCTTCCCCAGCTGGACCAGGAGGTGCTGCTTCCCTTGGACAACGCCTGGCAGGGAACCACCTTCAGGAAATAGTTACTGAGTGAATGAACAGACACCCATGTGGAGATTAAGAAGCTGAGGCTGGAAATGGAAGTGCCTGGGTTCTACCTTAGGTCTCTCTGATTCTAAAGCCAATGTTCCTAACTGTCGGGAGCCAGCCAGCAACCATCCCTTGACAAGATCAGGACAGTTGAGATGCATCTGCAAGCAGAGGCACCTGTGGCTGAATTTTCTGTCTATTTCTCTTTACATGTTTGTTTGGGTGATCAAAAGATGGTGGGATTGTTAGACACTTGTATTTCAGGTTCATTGATTTAGCATAATTCCAATGAAGTTGTACAAAATAATTTCTTGACCAGAGAACAAAATCCCCTCTAATGAAATAGCTCCTGAATGTCTAAAAGTTGTTAGAGTAACAGCCCCTCCTTTACCTTGAATAAGAATATCAATTAGACAGGTAAAGAAATAGCTATTACAAACTAAATACATAGAAACAGTTACTAAGGAGTCAGAGTTTATAGTACACAGAGGAACATTTTAGACAGAAAAGGATAGATAGCTAGGTTAGACATCACAAAGGCCTTATAATAATTTCCTATTACCTCTACTCAATCTAGTATATCCTTTTGCCCCATGACAAATTCTGAGAAACTTTAATATACAATAAGACATTCAAATTCTGTACATACAGCTACTTTCAATTGTCTGATTTATGGCTCTCCTGGTCAAAATAATCTTTGTTTATTAAAACTCAATCTATGGGAACTTTCATACTTTTCCTGGTTACCTTTGTATTGATTTTTTTCTGCTTAACTGATCATGCTATACACCTGCAAATGTTAATCACTACCTAAAATGAAAATATAAAAACCTGCTTGTACTTGCAACAAACGGAACAGAGCTTCACTGTCCTTGAGGCTTGTTGTCATCTGTTACCCATCACCAACGCCTTACCCACCTTTGGGAATCCCTGGACCCTGCTGTGGCTGGTCCGCGACAGGTGGCACCCAGGACAGGTACGAGAAGGTAAGACCCCTAAATATATTTTCAGTAAGGATAGGGTTCTCGCCATTGGGTGCTGCAGACCCCTCAGCAGGATAGGCTAAGTACAAAAAGGGCGAGTAATCATGGGACATACGGAGTCCAAGGAAAGAGGATTACTTATTGATATTACTAAGCATATGCTCCCTAAGAAAGGCATATATGTATCAGGAAAGCAACTTAGGGGATTTTTTCATTTTGTACAAGAATGCACCCCGTGGTTCCTGGAGGAATGAACCTTAAATATAGATACCTGGCTCAGGTTTGGTGATAGTATTAAGCAATACTGTTCTGACCACGGGCCTGAGGATATTCCTGTGGACGCTTTCTCTCTCTGGAATCTCATAAGAGACGCTTTAGACCCACAACATGAAAGCGTTTCTTTTCATAATAAATAAAAGCCACCCGTGACAGGCCACGCAAGGAGAGGTAGGCTTGAGAGAGAGAGAGACAATAAATTTTCCTTTCAATTAGCTTTTTTTTTTACAAACACCTCTGAGCATTCTTTCTTCAGAAGCTGCTTTTTGAAGCCCTTTTGATTCTGCCTTTTCCCTCCACCTGCCTGTGAACAAGAAAACAGATGATAAATGAGTGTTTAGGTTTCAACCAGACCCCGAAGATTGCTTTGAGAACTCATAGTTACTTACAGGGTTATTTATGAGTGTCCCACCGAAGATGAGAGGCATACCGCCCCCTGGCTTTAGATCTCAAGCATTCCTACCTGAGTAGGGGCCTTGCGGAGGTGTCTGGAGTCAATCCCTGAGACGGAGGGCCTTCACAAAAAATTCCAATCACAATAATTTAACTCTCGGCTCGATCAGGGAGCCCAATATAAAGGTTGGCCACCTAGCGCTTCGAGCCCTCCTCGCAGTCTTAGACGCGTGGGAAAAACCTGAAACCCATAAGCGGGGTTAGGGTACCCTGGATACCGGGCAGCCCTCCCTGATGGCTTTCACCAACAGTACATTTCTGACCCACCACACTATACGCCCCAATAGCTAATTAATTAAGGTTTAAAATGGGCTGTGGAATATGAAACAGCAGAAATCAAAAGTAAAAAGGAAACCTTTTAACAACAAGTATAGGCTCTCTAAAGAACAAGAGCAATGTTTTATGCTAATTTGGCAGTTTTTTTAAAGCTGCTAAATATTTCCCTGATAAGGAATCTTTAGACTTAGTTATTTAAGAGAAGTTAGGCAGAAATTGAAAC